AAAATGCACTTATAGGATGGGAATCTCATGAACCAAGGATCACCAAAGCTTCTTTCAAAACAAAGAATGAGGGCATTTCAATGAACATCATCCAACGCTGTGCGCCTACCAACAACTACAATGAAGACGCTAAAGATCAATTCTACAATAGGCTGCAGTCAATCATCGAGAAGTGCCCAACAAAGGACCTGATTATTCTGATGGGAGATTTCAATGCCAGGGTTGGAACAGACAACACTGGATATGAAGACATTATGGGACGACACGGACTAGGAGAAAAGAACGAAAATGGTGAGAGATTTGCAAACCTATGTGCCTTCAATAAACTGGTCATAGGTGGCACCATATTCCCACATAAACACATACACATGGACTTCACCGGATCACACCACGCAAAACCAAATCGATCATATCTGCATCAACAAAACGTTCAGGAGGACTATAGAGGACGTGAGAACCAAGAGAGGAGCTGATATAGCATCAGATCATCACTTGCTGGTCACCAAGATGAAACTGAAACTCAAGAAGCACTGGACAACGGGGCGGACAATATCACAGAAGTTCAATACGGCCTTTCTTCAAGATGCTAACAAACTCAACAAATTCAAGATAGTTCTCAGCAATAAGTTCCAGGCCTTTCATGATCTACTCAATGGAGAAGGAACTACTGTGGAGAGCAACTGGAAGGGGATCAAAGAGGCAATCACTTCAACATGTCATGAGGTCCTGGGTCACAAGAAGCACCATCACAAGGAATGGATCACTGTTGATACACTGGATAAGATTCAAGAAAGGAGGAACAAGAAGGCAGCGATCAATACCGGCCGAACAAGAGCAGAAAAAGCCAAGGCACAAGCTGAATACACAGAAATAAGCAAACAAGTGAAGAGGAGCATCAGAACCGACAAACGTAAATATACGGAAGATCTAGCAAAGACGGTGGAAAAGGCTGCAAGAGAAGGAAACAGAGACAATTGTATGACACGACAAAGAAACTCTCTGGAAATCGCCGCAAACCAGAACGACCAGTGAAAAGCAAGGAAGGCAAGGTAATCACCAACATTGAAGAGCAACAAAACAGGTGTGTAGAACACTTCAAAGAACTGTTGAATCGACCAGCTCCACTGAACCCACCCAACATCGAAGCAGCACCCACGGACCTCCCAATCAATGTTGGCCCATCAACAATTGAAGAAATCAGCATGGCCATCAGACAAATCAAGAGTGGCAAAGCATCGGGACCAGACAACATTCCAGCAGAGGCACTAAAAGCAGACGTAGAGGCAACTGCAAGGATACTCCACGTTCTCTTCAATAAGATTTGGGATGAGGAACAAGTACCAACAGACTGAAAAGAAGGACTTCTGATCAAAATACCGAAGAAAGGCGATCTCAGCAAGTGTGATAACTACAGGAGCATCACTCTTCTCTCAATACCGGAAAAAGTCTTCAACAGCGTATTGTTAAACAGGATGAAGGACTGCGTAGACGCCCAACTTCGTGACCAACAGGCAGGATTCCGTAAGGATAGATCGTGTACAGACCAAATCACAACTCTACGGACCATTGTGGAACAATCAATTGAATGGAACTCATCACTCTACATCAACTTCATTGACTACGAAAAGGTATTTGATAGCATGGACAGGACAATACTATGGAGGTTTCTTCGACACTACGGAGTACCTGAGGAGATAGTCAATATCATACGAAATTTCTATGGTGGATTAAACTGCAAAATCGTGCATGGAGGACAATTGACAGACTCGTTCAAAGTAAAGGTTGGTGTCAGGCAAGTTTGCTTACTCTCACCCTTTCTCCTGTTGATCGACTGGGTCATGAAGACGTCAACATCTGAGGGGAAGGATGGAATACAATGGACAGCTGGAATGCAATTGGACCATAGAGACTTCGCAGATGATCTGGCCCTTCTATCGCACACGCAACAACAAATGCAGAAGACGAACAGTGTAGCACCAGCGTCAGCAGCAGCAGGTCTCAACATACACAAGGGAAAAGCAAGATTCTCCGATACAACACAGCATACGCCAATCGATTCACACTTGAAGGAGAAGCTTTTGAAGATGTAAAAACCTTTACATTTCTTTGGCAGCATCATTGATGAACAAGGTGAAACTGATGCAGATGTAAAGGCGCGGATCGGCAAAGCAAAAGCAGCGTATTTACATTTGAAGAACATCTGGAACTCAAAACAACTATCAACCAACACCAGAGTCAGAATTTTCAATAATAACGTCAAGACAGTTCTACTGCATGGGGTGGAAACTTGGACAACTACGAAAGGCATCATCTAGAAGATACAAGTGTTTATTGACAGTTGTCTACACAAAACACTTCGGATCCGTTGGCCAGACACTATCAGAAACAACGTACTGTGGGAGAGAACAAACAAGATTCCATCGGAGGAAGAAATCAAGAAGAAGCGCTGGAAGTGGATAGAACACACATTGAGGAAAGCACCCAACTGCATCACAAGACAAGCTCTCGCTTGGAATCCTCAAGGCCAAAGAAAAGGAGGAAGACCAAAGAACACATTACGCCGGGAAATGAAAATAGACATGAGGAAAATGAACAAGAATTGGATGGAACTAGAAAAGAAGGCCCAGGACAGAGTGGGTTGGAGAATGCTGGTCTGCGGCCTATGCTCCATTAGGAGTAACAGGTGTAAGTAAGTAAGTAAGTAAATATAAGTTTTAAATACTTGGTAAATATTAAAACTTGATGTATATTAAACAAGGCTAGCTATGTAATAGTGCATAGTATTTTATGTGGAACCGATTTTTAATGAATATAGTTTAGAAATTAGTCAGTTAAGTAGATCGCAATAATTTCCCAATATTGATTAGATTTGAAGAATTATATTTTGTTACGTAGGTCACATGTCGAACTGTTCAACATAAGCATGTAGTAGATAAAAGAGATAAAAGCAATTAGATAATTAGAGATGAATTTAACAAATTAAAAGTGAAGAATTCGACCTTATGGTAAAGTGAAATTCCTTGTGAATGCATTTATTGAATGACATAGATGAATATTAGGATTTATTCTATAGCGTCTTAAACATAACGTACTGTTAATAGTCGTATCATAATAACCGCTCAAAAGATCAAAATTAAGCATTAAGGCTTTAATTTGTTCTGATTATGAATTATACGTTGTATCCGAATCATAACTGAAAGTTCTAATAAACAAAAATTTTAAATAAGAGCTTGGATGAAATATTTGTTTACGCAATCTAGTATAAACAATCTAATACATAACACGACATGTAATAACCTAGATATTTTTATGTTTATGACGATTTGGCTATATTAAACATATGAGATATACATATTTTTTAGCCAGACAATATAAAACCATATGATTAGTGTTGTAACGTGTGGACTGCAGGTTAGATGCGCAGCGTTTATATATCGACCGATTACAGTGACACGTAAAACACGTAGTGAACGTCCTAGAGTCCCGATTGTTCCCGCTTCCCTGTCTAGCCCAGCCAGTTGAGTCTAGAACGTAAGTCACAGCCTCTGAGTTATGAATCGTTATATTTCAAACATACTCTGTTTATATACCAACCAAACAGACCACATCGTACCATAAAAATAGAAAACAACATCTGTACAATATTTAACGAGTGAAATAAATAGGAAATGTTCATTTAACGTCCAAGGACATCATTAGACTTAACATGATAATGATTGGCGCATTATTCCTCAGCATCCATAACAATTAGTTTATTCGTTTAAACCTAGTGGGCAAGAACTTCGCATAGAGCCCAGCTGAGGCTACTGCCAGTCTTAATCCCGGATAAAAGGCTAACCAGAAAAATAACTCAACCACCTTCTCATTTGTTTACATTCATGATCCAATAAACAGTCGACCCAAAACCATCCCATTTTATAGAGAGCACGTATCAACCAAATAATGAGTTGGATTTCATTGGTTACCAACTTCTACTTTATTAATTTTACAACATAGGACAATCATCAATAAATGCCAGTAATGAGTTTCTATTATTGTCTAGAAGCAGGTGACTTATTAGGTCACAGTTTTTCACTGTAACTTTTGGAGATTCTTTTAAAAGCGTTTAGTATTATTTAAGTTCTTTAGTTATAATTTCTTGTTGCTCAGAAGAACAATCCCATGTTTAAACTCTACGATTAACTTTAATAAATGTATCCTCAAGGTAATTTAAAAAGAACTTATGAACATTACGTTCGGCTGTTTCCAATTCTTTAAATTTTAAATATTTGAACGGTGTAGCTGACTAAATTAATGTCTAAAATAATGATGAACAGTTTGAACTAAAAAAATTATCCAGAATGTTCATGCTAGTTTTATTTGGATTAACTAAGGTTTTAGGTCAATCGAAATGATTTCCGGTCTATCACACTTGCTGGTAATATGTTATATAAGTCTAACTATTATCTGTTCCGACGATCGATGTTATCTGGTGTAAGAATATATTGTAAGAAAGGTAGGGATGGCCAAATCAAAAAGTAAAATTAGTTCATAAGATCACTTATTGTTGGTCTGGGGCATGCTGGTGGAGGCAAACTACTGGGTTGAGATTCATACAGTAACCTCAAACAGTGCACGAAGATGTCGGATGATAGGGATAGGAACAAGTCACAGTGGCATAAATGGATTCACTCTTTATCAGTCTTTAGGTCTCTTGTTACAATAATCCTTCATACATATCTTTTCCTCCTGTCTTTCTGAACCATACTCTCAATAATTAACCTTTTTCATCATAACTGTTACTACATTATTTCGGCTTCTTCATTAGTCGTCTTTTTAATTTTATCACGTTGTGCGTATATGATAAATAACAACTAGGGCTGACATACTTTTTCGTTATTTTCTAAATTGAATCCAGCTGACTGAATAACATTGATAGCAGTGATATGACAACCAAAAATAGTAATAAATTCAAAAGAACTTACCGAAATAGCATAGCCGTTTGTTTTTCCTGTGTTTCTTCACGATCTACTCAATGAACCAATCACTTTGTGTATAATTTCTGTCGCTTTGTGCAGTTCATCTTCTTTAATAACTAAAGGCGGTGCTAATCGAATGATTGTGTCATGTGTTGGCTTAGCCAATAAACCATGATCGCGTAATTTTAAACAGACATCCCACGCATTAAATCCTGGACACAAAAGAAAAGTACAATGTAGAATTAAATATGAAATAAATTATTGGATTATTCGGCTTAAAGAATACTGTAATGTGTTAATATAGACACTTCTGCTGATTCCGGAAAGTATATCCTGAGTAAAGAGTATTGCTCTGATAACCAGTATCAAGGTTTCATCTATAAACCCATCAGGGATGGCTATGGTACTAATATCCTGCTTAAACAGTTACGAAGAACATAGCAGTTTCAATGTCTCATAAAGATGCTGTGGAAATAATCTCTGACTGAAGGCTTTTTCACCCAATACTTAAAGCGACAGAGCGTTATACTTTGTGTGACCATTTACACCTTGGTTCGATTGCTAAAACACTAAACACAGACACTGACATACTTTCAGCTAATCGAAGGGATAGATATTGGTCAAGAGATTTACTGGATAGATTAAGGAAGACTAATTTAATTAAACAGAAACTGAGCAAAAAATATGCTTACAATCCCATTTAAAGTATGATAAACCAGGAGAAAGCATACCCCTAATATATCACTGTTTTCAGAGGTATCATAAAAACGTTTTTTAAAGTGGATACATTTTCACAAATGATCTTCATTAATAATATTTTTGACTTCTCACATATAAGGAAGAATATCCTAATAATCTGCTTTGTTTAATGTTTCTGCTACTGTGTATATATTGTTCGAAAGAACGTAATCAGGAGAAACGAATTTCGCAAAATTAACTTATATATATCACCCTCATGTACAGAGAGGAACCATGCTAGAACATTGAAAAAGAGTATCCGTGTAGAACAAATTCGCTCATTTCAAAACGAAAATTTAACAACATTACATACTAGGGTAGAGATAGAGTGATAATTTTGTTCGCTTCTAGGTTACATTAAACATTAATTCAAGGTTATGAAGCCAAAGGGAGTTTTTCAGCTTTATTTTATTTACTAGTCCGATGGCGGAGAAATTACTTTTGAATGACACAAGTTTCATTTTTACTATTTATTATGTTCAACCTGTATGAGCGACAGATTCACTTCTGGGTCCAGTTATTTCTGCATATCTATAAATTTAACTCTTCTTTTAGAAACAAATTTATAGGTTGAGCGACGCGACATCGCCATCGCCACTTCCTCAAGCAGTGTCCATTGTGATTGAATAAAAATGTCAATTAAATCTCACAGAAGTTCAATACTACAGCATTTAGAGAACACAAAGCATAACGTCAACAAAATGTCACCAGTTACAGTTCTATAAAAGAAATCAGTAAAGCTTTCAAGCTACCTACATTAACATTTACTTAGTATCGCAAAGGTGAATGTTCCATCTAAACTTATACAAGCGAAATGTCTATTCTGCGTTCCTCTTCCCTTGCATGCCCTACGTCCACCACTGGATTACAATATTCACCATTCTGTGTCCCGGTCATTTTTATATACGTGTATTTTTAGCATATGTATTTATTGTTATTGTGATTATTAGTCTTGGTTTAGATTCCAAATGATATTTTTCACATTTATTCGCATTGTTTAATAACGGTTCACTTATTTTTGTTATCAATAACATGTTAGTTCCTTCACTTACATACCTACATACATATATTTATAATTCCTGACAAAATATTATGAATTTATAAACAACAAATAATTTTATTTATCTACACTCCGGTTCTGTTAATCTTAACAATTCAAGTGATCTAAACATAAATATTTCTAATTACTATTTACCTTGACGAATTACAATCGCGTTTAAAAGACCTTTACCACGATATAATTCAACGACAGATTTTGGAAGTTTACTCAGTTCCTGACGAAAGATTTCACCTAATTTCTGTGCATGTTCTGCTAAACCTTCCTCTTCCAATACCTTATTTTTAAAAAAAAATAAAATAATACATTACCGAGGAGTAGAAAGTAAATGAAAAGATAACTCTTTTTAAATTTTCTTAGAATAAAACTTTCATTTCGTGATGAATATTTTAATGAAATTTCTCCAAAAAAACCATTTAAATGAATAGTAAATGTGTATTCACTAGTATTTTGCATCTAGATAGATTTAATCAAATTCTAACAGGAGAACGCAACCAACCAATCAGGAAGCAACAGAATAGTAAGACGTTGAAAATGAGTGATTTTTACTTAGTAGCCCAAACTGACTATCTCACCGAATAATGCTCAATGGATTCCTAATCAGAGCTCGAGTAATATTGTTTTCTTCATGAAATCTAATGATTTCCTATTCGACTATATGTAGCATCAAGGTTTAAAGTTATCAAGGAGGACTAAATTAAGAAAAAACTTTGGTCTATTGATTTTTAATTCTTAATATTTGATGATAGTTTGTAACTAAAGCAATCTTCGAATATTGCCGTTACTAATAGTTTTAAATAAAGTGAGTCAGTTGACAACATATAACATGTCACCAATTTTATAATGAAACAAATTCATCATTCTAAGAATAACGTAGTAATTAAGCTAGAAATTCTCTTGGTCAGTAGATTAACATAGAAATATTTTTTAAGGAAGGTGATCAATTGAATGAGTTGAAAAAGTTTACATAACATCACAATTTTGCAAAATGAATCAAAATTTATTGCATAAAAACCTTGAACAATGAAGGCTAAATGTCAGGCAAACTTTGTCTACAACATTCTGTTGAAACCATTGATTTGAAAGATTTTGTTCGGCTGAGTTTACTGAACTTTTAAATTGTCTCAGCTATCTTAGGCTGGTGAGCAAAATGTGCAAAATTAGTAGTGACTCGGTAAATACTGAGGCTAGAGGTTATTAACAATATGCTAATACATTTCTGTGATGAATGGGAGTATAATCTGACAGGTATGTGTGGTTCATTTTGGGGCTCGTCATTTGAGTATGCCACTATCGACCGGTGACTACAGGCTACACCAAAATATTTTTTCAAAGAGCTCGACATAATGAAGTAGTCTGATCGAATTTACTCCTCATTATTGACAGTTTTAAAATAACAGACCCTTACGAACAGTAATGATAGTAGTAAGGAAAGACTTACTCTTAAAGCAGCCATAGCAACTTTACAAGCTAATGGATTACCACCATAAGTTGATCCATGTTCACCAGGTTGAATAGTCAACATAACTGAATCATCAGCTAAAACAGCGGATACCTGAATTAAAATGGATAGGTAGATAGATAAATAAATAAATGGAAATACAAGTGAAACAAACTAGGTTCTTAGAACGCATTATCATAATATGATTGCTAAAAAACTGTTGAGGCCAACTTTATCAATAGTAATATATTTTGACACATTATTCAGGCTCTTAATATTACATCTGGATGTTTTCATGTTACAATAAAATTCGTGTATTCCAGATATATTTGTATAAGTTAGCGAATATAATCTCTTAATTTGGTTTAAGTGTTCTAGTTACGCATTTTCATGCACATCAGTGAAACTAATTTCCGAAATAACTACAATAAAAAAGGAACCAATCCACGAAGTTGCGCCACCATATACCATTGTCTTCAGTGAGCTGATATCTCACAACAGACCTGGTTGAACTCCACTGGTGACGGCTTATAACTAAAATTCCATCTGCGAAATTTCTAAAATCTCCACAAACCCTTTCTGATAATAATCATCTGCTCACTAGTGACTGACTTCAAGAGATACTCCTGAAGTTTTAGTGATAAGCCGTCACCAGTGGAGTTCAACCAGGTCTGTTGTGAGATATCAGCTCACTGAAGACAATGGTATATGGTGGCGCAACTTCGTGGATTGGTTGAAGTTAGACATTAACACCGCTGGATGCCGGCTCAGTGGTCTAGTTGGTTAAGCGCCTGGCGAGAGACTGATAGATCCCGGGTTCGAATCCCGCGGGGTGCGGGATCTTGGATGCGCACTGCTGAGGAGTCCCATACTATGACGAAACGGCCGTCCAGTGCTTCCAGGTTTTCTATAGTGGTCTAGCTTCAATTGACTCGATTTCAATCTGTGAAATTTATAAAATCTCCACAAACTCCTTCTGATAATTAATATGTAAACAAACAGATTAAATATAATATAAAACGTAAATAGATTTTTTGTTTTGAAGCATGTAAATAAATAAATGAAATGAAAAAAATATTCGAAAAAAATTAACCCATTTTAAATTCATATGATACATCATGGATATTATTTATATATAAATTGATTTAAGTGTACTTTAATACGTTGTTAAGAGTTTAATGACGAAAAAGGTCATTTTCAATATGAAACATATGATTAACTTTAGTTGTTGTAAAGTCAAAATAGTCATTATGGTTAGAAGGATATATTTTCATAGTAAAAGTAAGAATATTGACAAGTCGCTCGTTGATAGACTTAGATACTATGAAACTTTTAAACAGTTTTCTGACATATTTGTGATCATATAAGTACACTGATTTGGTGGTCTATATGGTTAGATAGAAGACGTTGAGCTAACCCTTTGTGGAGTTATAGATGTGCAATACCGAGAAGACTCATGTTTGGGCAAAACAGTTATCTAGTACTTCCTGATTTTCAATGGATACTTAACTAAAGTTGGTTCATAATATCAATAACATTCAATAATCTCTACAAATCTCCACTCACTTGTTTGAATTTATTAGGTTAACTGAAATAATAGTGTAACGTGTGTTCCCGATAGTTAAAATGTTAAAAATACATGCATTTCTTTTTCTGTATGCTATTAAGAAGCAAAATCCATATTATATTTTGTATGAGCCTGTTAATACTTAGAACTAGGTTCATTAGTGTTTGTCAGTAAAATCAAATAACGAGTTGCACAGAAGATGAAAAGTGATTTTTAGGTTTAACTGCCAACCAATGTCTAAGATATAACAATTAACTTTAATGTCAACAGATTTATTTTTAGTTCAAGTTTTATATAAAACAAGAAAGGATATTAGAACACTCAGCGGTTCAGAACACAAGTTAGAATTGTACAAAACAAATACTTTATATACTACCAGTTTACTATCAATGAACAGAAATCATTTAAATTTTTTTGTTTACTCCCGACCGTTACATTTAATTTTCTGTCTAAGAAGAATCCTAGAAACTAATTAGTATTTTGACAGGGTGTGTGTTTTGTACTAAAATGATTTAATTTTGTGATTAAATCACGCTAAATACAAAATGGAACTTGTTTTAATATAAACTCATTGTTTGGGTAATCCTAAAAGAAACCACAGATTTTAGCCTGTTTAGGTCCATAAAAAAATGAACTAACAAGCTGCCTGTTCTAAAGCCATCCCAACATACTTAAAAATATAAGAAACATTTTCGAACTCCACGGACTTGATGTTTTACTGAAAACTTATTAACTTACGCGGAGTAGCGTCCGAAAAGTTCTGGGTTTGATTTTCTCAACAAACTAGGATTCTATAAAAGTTTATGCATATATTGATCCAAGCAAAACTATCCACTCACTCATAAGAATTTTAACAATCTAGTCTCCTCTCTAAATATTCATATACTTACATAGTAACTGTTGTTTAATCGTAAGGAAACATCATCTAGTTAAGATCTAACTCTTTTGTATATAGTTTTAAACAAACTAAAATCGTGGTTAGAAAATAAATAAATGATTTACACTGATTGAATCAGCAAAGAGGATAAGTTATACGATACAATCAACGAAGCCGTTTAGTAGTGTGGAATAAAATCGGAAGCAGAGGAACGTTTATTATACCGGTCAACAGCTTATTATGTTAATATTTTATGAAGTCACCCCCGATTTGTCTTTTATTACAGTCTCTTCAATCTTTATTAGGCATGGTCATTTAGTCAAACATAAAGTAATACCTAGAACATATGTATATCGGTTTAAATAGCTACACCGTGTCAGCACAGCGAGATAAATTTATCAAGGCAAATATCGTAGTAGTAGGAGTATCAACAGTAGCAGTAGAGCAGAAAAGATTTGACAGTATACAATATGATTCGAGAATCAAAATGAATTTATAGAATTCAAATGAAGCATAAATTTGAGATTCAGGAGAAAAGGGAAGACAAGGAATAAATGTATGTCATGTCGTTGAACATTTCCAATCAGTGATTACAATAATCACACAGACCCTAACCCGGTAGTCTGAACCTATCTACACAGATAAGATAAACTCCCATTGAATTCATGAACTGATGTTACGTTTTAGTTTGTCCACCCCTAGATATTCAAATAAGTACTGATTGACGATAGTTTAAATATCTAAAACTCAACAGACAGTGTAAACATATGATGACGTTAGCTTTAATAACTTACTGGAAGTACTCCTCCTGATAAAGCTTTCCCAAGTAGAACGATATCTGGTCGAACATCTTCATGATTTACACACAATCGTCTGAATGATAACAAAAGAGTAAGTTAAGAAAATAAAGATAAGTTATCTGCATAAATTGTTATGTATAGATTTCTGCCATTGGCGTTTGGTATATATTACTTGGGATTACACTAAATGTAACTGAGATTTATTCAGCTATACAAGTTATGAGTTTTCCTCTATCGGCAAATTTAATAATCTTCAAGTTTTTAAGTCTGAAATTTAACTCAAATTCATTGAATTTGATTTTGATAATCAAGTGATAAAAGTATTGTTAATTATTTTATCTTAGCTAATAAATTAAGAAATGAGTATAGCAATTATACTTTTTTCAAAAGAACCTTGAAGTTTTTCATAGATGATTTTTAAGTCGATTACACACCCAAAAATACTTTTATCCAGAGTCATTTATCTGTAGTAAGAAGATGTCGAATGGGTTTCTCGACTCGATTCGTATAAACAACAAAATTTTATATATTCTTGTGAACCCAGTTGCTTTCTTGTGAAATGAATCTGGGTAAAAGAAGATGATGTGTTTTAAATATCTGATAAAAACATCAAATCCTTGATACTATAATATAGCTTATATGAGATACAGTAATCAATAGATTCTACCGAATTCTGTACTACTATAAATCAATATTTTTTTAATCAAAGATTTCGCGATTGTATCTATTATTTTATTAGGCTCGCTTTATTAGTCATAAGAACAACTATGGTTACTCTAATATAGTTAAAAATAGTTTCCAAACATTTTTCCCAATGTACAATTATTCATTCTGAAGAAATGGTTCTGTTTTGATAGGTTTCGTTTATCAATATTTAATTATTTTGTCATACCTTTTTCTTCAGTGTTCAACTTATTACATTATTTTTTCGCTCATTGTTTATTGATTTTTTCCACATGGTAACAAAAAGAGACCATTTTGAGTAAATGTTATAATGCACCAGATTTTTAATTCCTTAGTTCATCTATAAATAATTGAAATAATTCCACTCGTTCATTGATTAGAGATCAGTGTACTGAAATTTTATCTACAGTGTTAATATGAAGACTATGTATACTACCCAGTTGCCTGAAGCGAAGTAAATGGAGTCAGGTTCAAACCTTTGATTTATCAATGGATAACAGAATGTGTTCAAAAAGCTAAGCAACTATTTTACTCATATTAGTATCTAAATATCGTTACGGGAAACAGAAAACGTCAGTCTGGATTCTAATTTATTTATCTCAAAGGCCATATGTATATCAGAACGTGTATCTTTCTATTACTCGTCTTAATTGGGGTATATTCAAACATTTACATAAAATTTAGATGTACAGCTAGGTTTTAATTGACTCAACTCATAAAATTACTTAAACCAAGAGTAAAAATTTATTCTAAGAATAACTACTTAATATCAGCTACAGATCATTATGACAACATCAGTTTAAACTAGTTAATTAGATGTAAAACAAATCATAGTTATAGCTTACTTTCCTGTTCGACCTAAACCAGTTTGTATTTCATCAGCTATAAACAGCACATTATATTTAGTACACAATTTTCGCACACCCTTTAGGTAACCATCTGAAGGTGTACGAACACCAGCTTCACCTTGAATCGGTTCCACCATAAATGCACAAGTATTATGATTTTTTAATTCGGTCTAGAAAAACAACGAAAATACAAAATAACAAACCAAATAAACATCATTGAATGAGATTTATGTTGTTTACATTGATGAAGCTATCAGTCTTAGATATTTGAAGGAAATCATCAGTTAAATCTATTTTGATGAGAAAATGTTTGTAATATTTAGGTAAACAAGTAGTAAAGTGGAAAACCTTTATCACTAATGAAAAATTTACATCAGTTTCACCTAGCAGACGACATCATTCAACTATTTAAGATGTGATGGGAATTTTGAAAAATTCGATCATGCTGATGAGTTAGTCTAATGTTCAAGGATTGGAGCTGTATAAAGCATAATTTGTAGAAAATAAGAAGGGGTACACGGAAAAGTATCGCTTCAATTATCTAGGATTATGCAAAAATCAATTTTGAGGTAATCAGTCATTGATTAGAAAGAGGGACATGAATGTGTCCTCTAAATACATTTATGGTCTGTTTTTGAAAGGTGCGTAAATGAATCCCATCTAGTAAAGTAAAATCCAGTAGACATTGATTCCATAGATAGAATATTAGATCAGACACAAAAACAGCATTTTAGTGTGGAAATTTTGAGAAACCGATTGTTTATACCGAATACGTATAGTCTGCTTGATACGTTGACAGGGTTATCTGTCCATCGGCAAATCGCCGTTTAATGTTAACACGACTAATATATGTTGAAAAGATACATCTAACTTGCGTAAATCACATTAAAAAGTGGTTCTCATTCAGAAGAAATTACCTTAAATAAGAGATATCAAAACCACTTTCAGTGGATGTCAAATTGTTGGTTTTCGTACTACCTTATTTAAAATAAACACGAAGTTTGATGATTAAGTAGTCACCACAATACTTGATGGCTTGGACTTTGGCACCTGCGAAAGACATGTGTTCACTGGTGAAGAATTTCATGGTACAACAAAACAATTAACCGGCTCTTCCTAGTTTTAAGTGTTACACTAAGTTCATTCCGTGATAACATCACCTACAAGCAAATGCTTTGTTTTTTCCCCATAAGTTTTGTCTAACGCTAATTATACTTTTACGGAAGTATGAGAGCTTAAAGCTGTGCTGATTTCAATTAGATTGTTACAAATAATTGTTTCTTGACACAAAAAGTGGAAACAAGCGATTACTAAGTGGCTCAATGTGCCAGTTGTTAAAATTAACTTCATCATTTTATCTTTTCGAACCTCAAATTAATAACCACTACACTAGTCAATCCAGTGACGTCTACTTTGATGATGACTTAAAGTTAACAATGAATAGAGTAAGTTGATGTCAAGCTTGTATGAGCTCACTGTGGAATTATTTAGTTCATTAAAATTTATATGCTTTCCAAGCAAATGACTTTCTGAACTGATAAAATTACGTATAATTTTATATTCGTGATTCGAAAGTGGTTGGATTTAAAATACTTTCAAATAGTATCCGAAAGCAGTTTGAAAAGCTTGAAATCAGGTTTTCTGATTGATGACACACATTTCATACATAGATGATTTCAAAGAAAACTCACGATTATGACCTTTAAAAGGGTAGTCATAGATCAAGTTACTTCAATGTAACATTTTCTGATTTTGTGCTCTTACAAAACTGACCCCACTCCTTATTTTTATCAATAACTATTTTTGTCTTTAAACTAAAAAAGCTCTTCGTAAACCATATAGACAGATTACTTATTTGAGTTCTTTCTAATACATTGGCTTGTATAGCTGAGTTTATTGACTCTTAAATTAACTCACAGTTTAGTTTCAATGACTTTAAAATAACACAATGTCTAGTTTACAAAAGAAACAAAGCTCTGACCTAAGGCAGAAACGTTTTAAGTAAACGGTTTAGGAAAGAGTACAAATATTAACCAGTTTAGATCTCAGGAAGTGCAGTAAGTGTAAGTAAGTGTAGTAAAAAAATGAAGCTGATTTTATTGAAATGTTAGAGTTTATACACTAGACAGGTTTTTTAAATATTTCTGATTTAAAATACACTTCCAATGTATTCTAATGACTTTTCAGCCACCCCATGTGATGTCCATCAAACATTGATTTTACGTTTTATCTACGTATAATCAAGGAGTACATACTTTTATTACTCAGATTTGACTAATTGTTAAACTCTCAAATTTGTACTTATCATCTGAAATACCTTTCATCCTTTTGTCACTTTTCCAGACAACCCCACAATGTGAGTGTATTAAAGAAAATATTTATATAGCTGATCTAACACAGTGTCGAAGGTCAATTATCGTGGTGTCACCTTTCCTCTGATCTGTCTTGGTCTTCCCACGTTTCATTGTTATCGAAGAAGGTTTTCCGTCTGACTTACTACATAAAGAGGTTACATGCTCTTGGGATTACTCGTCATTTACTCTTACAATTTGTCAATTCTTGTATATTACCTATTATTCTTTACTGTTCTCCATTATTCTTTCCCGGGCTTTTGAGAAAAGACTTTGCTGTATTGCGGAGAGTGCTGAAGGCAGTTAGCAAGATGTGTGGTGAATCTTTCGAGGTCATAATTAACATGGTTGTGGATAGACATCTAAAGTCATGCAAACTCATGGCAGGTGTTATTTTATCAGATACTAACCATCACCTTCACTCTTAGCTTTCTCCTTGTATATCTTCTGGTAGAACGAGACGTAATTACATTAGAATCCATGCACGCAAGCAAAAGTATAAAAGTTCTATAATACCTTACTTAGCAAATATACCCTGTGACAAACAGGTTGTTCGAGTTTACCTAGTCAATAACCTGCATTCTTAACATGTCTTTAATTTGAAAAGTTGAACAGTTTTTCGGTTTTTTTAACCTTTTTTCCATTTTTTGTCTTTGTCACTGTTTGTTTTGCGTAAGAAACTTGTTGAAATACCCTGTGCTGAGAATTCTATATTGTACGAAAATATAATATTGAGTAAAGTCATTAATAATAATAATAACATATATGTATCTATTTGGATAGTTTCACGTCAATTACAAATAATCTGAGGCTGATTTTTTCTTGAGCCCAAAATGACCAAAACCACAACACAAATTTAAAGGGAACTACATGTTGCCAAATATCATACTATTCTAAAATTTATGTGTCAGAAATCCCAACCCAGAAGGGAACAGATTTGAGGTTAATAAAAAGTGTAATGAAGAAAAAATAGTTTCTTGAAAGATGATACTGACTGCATCATAAAAAGAAACACCTAAAATCAGTCAACAAATCAATTGAAATATGAGTTATCAACCATCTGGTTATTTACATTAAAATTAAATGCTAGGACCAGCGGGACTTATTAATTACTGAATAGAAATTGAAATATCATTATATCGCCAGATAATATATGTGCATAAATGCAAGGAAAACAGAATCATTCAATATATAAGACTCTAAAACACAGCCACAAAAACGCTCTTAACGTATCAAGCAATTAAAATCTGGCATATATATTCCAAAATGTAATAAAGTAACGAAGACCTAAAGCTAACAATTTTGACTTGATCTTCAACCTAACTAGAAAACAAACTTACTTCGAGAGCATTCAAGTCATCATAAGGAACAGTGACAAATCCGGGCATAAATGGTCCAAATCCTGAGTAGCAAGTAGGATCAGTAGATGAAGAGCATGCAGCTAAAGTGCGACCCCAAAAGTTTCCTTCAGCAAATACTACTCTGGCTTGTCCATCCGGAATATTCTTTACTTTGTAACCCCATTTTCGTGCAAGTTTTATCGAAGTTTCACCAGCTTCGACTCCTATATATTTATAAAACACTTCGTTCTTATAAATACGAAAATTTCACTGTTTAGATAATAAATATCAGTTATGTAAATTAACCGCTAGTATAAATATGAACAAATTATCTTTCCATTTTCCTTCAAACATTTTTGTTAAAAATATTTACTTTCCTCGATTAAGAAAGTGGATTGTTTTCAGAAAACAATTATTCCGGTAAAACTTAAAATTAACTACTGGTTGACATCTAAAACAGTTGAAACCTTACTACTACTGTCAGTGAAGTAACTCGTATCTACAATTATTGCCTGTGTATTATATTGTAACAGTTATATGACGATTGTAAGGCTTAACGTCACTTCAAAGAAGTTTTAATCACACATTTTGGTTTTTACTTTACATTTTAAACATAATTTACATACTGAAGGTTGTGCTATTACCAGTGACCTGAATAACTGTATAGTAATCTTTTTGAGTGAATTTAATTAAATATTAATGTCAAAGCAGTAACGAAATAAAATAAAAAGACTTAAATGATTTGTGTAGGAAACAATAATAAACATGCCATACATTGTCTCAGCATCATTATTTCGTTATATGTATAACAATAGCAATTTAAAGATAATACTGAACATACAGAAAAAATCTGCTTTTACATGTAGCCAAAAACGCTCAAAAAAGGAATGTCTCAATTAAGTGAAATGGTACCCGATTTCACTGTTTTTAAATTAAAAGTTATAACGTTCTCAGATATAATACAATAAAACCAGGTTTGTTGTCTATAATGTTGAAAACGGTTTGACAATAGCGATTATTTGATAGTTATCGTCAATTGCATGTGCAACACGTCATTTTTGTCTTTATAACTATCTTTTTACATAATTTGTGCACACCAAAATTAGTCAGTTAGTTATAAGTGACATAGAACCTGAGGGAAATTTTTTTCTTTGGCTGAAATTATTATGCAGTGTTAGAACGAAAAGATGAACTTAACAAGATGAATAACATAAGCGTAGTCGAGCTTTCTCACAGCGTCTTACGGAGGCTGACTTACTTTATGAATGCGTCTTATTTCGCAAAACGTTGAAAAAAGCGAAAAAAATAAATAGAAGCGGATGCTCTTTGTTTTCCGGAATTTTTCAGTCAAAACGTAATAATATATTTATGTATACATATATATGTATATGTATATATTTAAATAAAGAATAACTTTTATCGTTGATCCTGATGATAGGCTTGAAGTTTGAACGCAACACAAAGTATGTTTTCTCCAAAAGTCTGAGAATTAATAAGCAAGGTTAACAAAGAAAAGGTTGGTAAATCGCATAACCTTTGGTCCTTTAGTATTTTAATTTGCATAATAAGTTTTCACTGACACCACAATAAGACGACAAAATAAAAAAAACATGTGGGAAACTGTTGTGAAAATAAACGATGGTTTATAGGCTGTTTTATGACGATCCAGTGAGATTGAGCCGGTCATATGATTCAAGCTATGTTTACAACTTTTGTTTACACTTAAATTCGACAGAAACAATAATGCTTTGAGGGATCGTGTATGCGATGATTAAAGATAGAATTTAATTCGACATTGTAAAAAAGTACAATGTGTGTTGACAGTTTTTAGTGTCTGCATTGATCTCAGCTATATAAAATATAACCTACGATTTTGGTCATGAAGTCTAAGGTAAAGTGATCAAATAAAGTAAATAAGAAAGCAAGTCAACCAAGAACCATTAAAAGCATGGATAATCACTCAGTTTACCTTAAAAAATTGGTTTTTAAATGTACTCAACTCAGAGATCACTTGAAAATTTATATACATTTTAAGTGATCTGTGTAAATTAATGTCAAGTAGAATGGATGGAAGCCTCAAAATAACTTGTAAAATGATGTATTTGTGGATCTAAGAATAAATTTCGTGAAACACTGAAAGTTAATGAAGATCAAAACAGAAAGAATCACTAATAATCTACAAATTTTACCGAAACAATGACCATTAATTATATATTGCAAATGAGATTTAAAGCTTCTGTTAGTCCTTGAAAATTCGTACGCCTAATAATATTTGGGTCACTGAGTAATGAGCTCGCGAATTTCAAAGCATGCATTCAGAAACACTTGTGATTCTCCATTTGGGAGACGTATTTTAATGATCGAATAGAGACGAAAGTATTTCATCATTAATATTGCTCCGCATAAAAGGATACAACTAGTACATACGTCTGATAACAGGGCTGATATTTGCTGTTTGCAAACAAGATCATCATAATGTCCACAGTGTTGACCTTGCTAATATACGGAGTTTGCACTATTTTGCCCTAATTACAGGAGCTTGATTGGGATATATTTGAATCTACAGGAATTAAATGGCCGGAAAAAAACCATCATCTTAGGATTAGACTAAACATCTTCAGTGAAATGCAGGTGTACATTATGTCCATCAACTTCAAAATTCTTGTGGCTTAATTAATCTAAAAACAATATTTTCTCTGAAAACTTAGATGCAAACTAAAGAGCTGTTAATCACAAAACAGTCTTAATTTAATTCAAAATATTTAAAATAATAGTCAAAATATCCGTATGACTACGAAATTAGAAAACAAAATGTCACGTTTTATTGCTGTAAGTTTTATTCTTTTGTAGTGAAATAATGACAGTTTTTAGCTAACGTTCCAAAACCTACTGGTACATATAAATGAATGCTAGCTATTTTCATTGAGTTTATTTCATATTCGTGAGTTTTAGGTTTATTCATTTGGTATAAATAAGTATATGAAGAAACTGATTTGTTTACTTTGAAATCAATTTCAAACTTCAGTCACCACAAGTAATATTGCTGCATGAAACAATCTTAACGATCTACAAAAGTATATGGCTGGTTTTTACACAATGTAAATGTAATTATGATGTCATATTGCTACCACAGAAAGTTATAAAAAACACCATAAGTTCGAATTTTAGTAGATATATCACGTATAAGAATAGTCCAACACTCCAACAAGTATTTTTGAAATGTCCGAAACCTTAGTGTGCTTATTAATATCTCCTGTAATAAACTCAGTTGCTGATCAGAATTTTTATAGCTAATTGATATTTTTGATCCATTACATTGCTGTTTAAATTTATATTACCTGTAAAGAATATATATATCAGTTCCTTATCTTCTAACACTTCGCGTGACATAAAAAGACCTTGTAGATGTAAGTCATTTAGGTCATGATATAACTCCATGAAGCTGTAGATTGGACATGTGACTTGTTTTTAATATATAATTAAACCCAGGACCTACTGGTTTTGCTCCCGAGCACTTAACCACTAGACCACTGAGCCGGCATCCAACGGTGTTAATGTCTAATCTCAACTAATCCACGAAATTGAGTTACTATCTCACTGAAGTCAATGGTGAATGTGTCGCTCAATTTCGTAGATAAGTTGAAGTTAGACATTAACACCGTTGGATGCCGGCTCAGTGGTCTAGTGGTTAAGTGCTCGGGCGCGAAACCAGTGGGTTCTAGGTTCGAATATCGCAGGCGGCGGGGTCGTGGATGCGCACTGCTGAGGAGTCCCACAATAAGACGAAACGGCCGATCAGTACTTCCAGGTTTTTCATGTTGGTCTAGCTTCAACTGACTCATGATCCTAACCATTGAAATTACTACAATCTCCACAAAAACCCATCTGATATAATTAAACGTTGAATAATACAAAACTCGTACCTGAATTCATAGGCAAAACCTTATCGTACCCAAACATTTTTGCTGCCATCTCCTCGAATTCTCCCAAACAAACGTTATAAAATGCACGTGAGGTAAGAGTGAGTGTTTCTGATTGAGTTTTGAGTGCCTCAATAATACGTGGATGACAGTGTCCTTGGTTTACTGCACTATAAGCACTCAGGAAATCCATATAACAGTTTCCCTCAACATCCCAAACGTAAATACCTAACTATGAGATGAAACTTTTCAAAATACCTTTGCCTTTGCTCAAAGCTACTGGTAGAGGATGATAATTATGCGCTCCATATTTGTCCTCTCGGGAATAAATAGTATCAGATAGCCTAGTTTGCTTACGCAAATTGTCTGACCACCCTGAAATGCTCCTATCAGTTTGTTATACTTTGAACACGATGTTCTAATACATGAATTACCTAGTCAGAGTTTTTTGAGCGTACAAACGTAAAGAGAGCATCTTGAACAATCTGTGCGGTGATTTTAGTTGTACTCTTGCTCTTGTTCGATAAGATAAAACAAACGTTAAAAGATAGAAACGAAATGAAGCAAATAAGTGATTTTTCAGTGTCATGATCTGTGTAACAGGAAATAAACTTTGGGAAAGCAGGTTGATCTTGCATATTGATTGGTGTTAAAATTGAAATGCTTATAACGACGTGTTCCTCAGAGTTTCGCTGTTAGAAAAATCCTTTGGTCCCTCTTAATGTCATAGAACTTAATATCAACCTTAGATCAATTGAGGATGCTGACACCACTGCTTTGGAGAGCAGGTTCTAAGAATTGATTATTTGGATTTAAAATCTGTATGCCACGGTTATTTTATTCGTTTTTTTATTTCCTACTCGCTCTCTATGTTATCTGAGATGTCCCGATAGTGGGCGGAAAAAAGAGGATGTATTAGGCCCAAAATCACTTCTTGGTGTTCTATACACCAAAGTCTGCGATAGGACCGAGTAAAGAGATTAAGCTTTTCAAGCCTTTTTTATGGTAAACCACGGTGTTCCGGATTTGCACGAGTAGCATTCTTCCGACTCACATTTCAAACAGAAACTTGAAGTCTGAACACAGTTTTCGAGCTTAATTCTCACTAAGGTTGTATATACTGTTATGAACATAGTGGTATCTCACATGGCGAATGTTTGTTTTAGAGTCCAGTGGGTTCTAAACCCCTTAACTGCAACCTCTCGGCAATGGGCGGTTGTCTTAAGATCATGATTCACTGCCACCACAAGATTCTAGTGAGACCGAACCACGAGTGCAAGCACTTCCACATTTTTGTACCTATAAACTTTTGTATCCCCAAACTGCATGTAGACACACTTTGCTGCGTTGGTAGTCATCAGTGTTTCAACTAAGACAATGGTGAGGCTGATAGACCTATAGTTCGACTAAAATTGTCTTCGTCCTGTTTTGTGCATGGGAGTGACGATTGCGCCCTTCCAGTCCATAGGTAGAATACCATGGCCATGTGACTTGTCGAATAACGCAGTTAGTGGGGTTGCAATATACTGTGCAATTTGTCTCAGGATTTTGGGTGTAGTTAATTTGGTCGTGTTGACTTTCCTAAGACGCTAAGAGCCTAAAGTATATCATCCTGAACAAAGTTCACGGCAAGCGAGCGGTTTGTTGACTTTGTATTTGGGTCTAGTTCTTTATCTAGAAGAGGTTCCTGAGTGTCAACTGCCATAGCCCCTGCATTTTCCTGATCTTCCTCTATCATTTCAGATACACTCCCTTCTTTAATTACTTTTGAAATCCAATGATGCATCCATGATCTGTAATTTGTATACGAGAAAAATCTCTTGGGTTGTTTGATTGCAAATTATGTCAAGTAAAGGAAAGGATGAGAGGCAGAGTAGCCAATATTCATGAAGGAATGTTTAAGGTATGATTACTCAGTCTAATTTTCGTTTATTAAGGTATTTGTTAAGAAAGAGCATTTTAATAGGTTAAAGGAAGGTATGAGTGGACGTGCAACTGGCAAATGGAGGTGATTCGGAAAGGAGCTGAGAGTATGGGATTATGTGTGGTTATAAAATAAAATATAGTGCTAAAAACAGTATTGTGATATAAAATTGGCTATCTTCCTTTGTTATCGAAGCTTTTGGAGCCCTTTTCATGTTTTGGTATTATTATTATAGGGTCTTGAGTAGGCTTCTTATATTAGCGAATTGTCTAGTTTGCTTGTAATAGGATTACTGGGTAGGAAGTGAAGCCAATTCAACATTCGTAACACGATTTAATGAGGTTATCGACTGAGCAGAATGGATGTGACGTCAGCAGACATTTTAGACTTTAGTTTTGATTAATTGTCAGGTATACTATCAGTTTTGAATAATTCAGTAGTCAGGAGACTTAATATTTTGAGGGAAAGCATTAAGTTTGATTGGTACATGTCACTTACATCACGTTAATTAACTCGCGGTGTTCATAGTTAATCCCAACTCGACGCCACGCTACAATTGGTGACCCAAGTTTTGGAACACGCCCCAACTTCTGGTCAAATCTTCCAAAGAAGCCAATTCGGTGAGTCTATGATTTATCTATCCACGTCTGTCGTATATTTTCATATTTTTAATATATAATATACTTGACATGACGGATAACGATAAGAATAGTATTAATATAATAGACTCACATGTATGTGTACCGAATCCTTGTCGCTTATTATTCGCGTGACGATGAATTCCACGCTTTATTCGAGAAATTTTCCCCTATTAACTATTCTCCTCGCTGACCCGGCTGCTTGGTACGGAATGCATACGCATACGCATTACCGTCTACCACCCAGCATCAAATGGTTAAGTTGAACGGTTTCATTGCCAACTTAAAAGTGCTCTACAAGCACACGAAAACGGCATCTGGTACGAAACCTTACCGCTCGTTCTCTTAGGCATCAGAACGAGCTTGAACGCAGATATACAATGTTCCGCCGCTGAACTTGTATACGGCACGACATTGCGTCTGCCCGGAGAATTCTTCACACCACGAAGCAGACCTAATTTCGGTAAATCAGACTACGTCCATCGACTGTCTACATTTACGCGAACGCTGTCTTCGGTGTCAACTCGAATACAACATCGACAGGTCGCTCTCCCTCGAGAGTTATCTACCTTTTCACATGTTTTCATATGAGTAGATTCCGTACGCAAACCTTGGCAACAACCTTACGAAGGATCTTTTCACGTGATCGCTCGTCACGAAAAGACCTTCAAGGTTGATTGACACGGCCGCGTCGAGATTGTCAGCATTGATCGTCTCAAACTAGCACACGTCGATGACAGTGCCCTATCTGATAACCTGAGATTCAATGCTAGACCTATCAGACCTACTAGGGGATCCTCAAACCATTTTCAGGTCCCACGCTGGATACACCTGAGACCTCATTCTCACGTTCCAGTCAACAGCACGCGTCATCTGCGCCGTCTACGGACGAGACGACAGTCTCACGTCCAGATCAGCAGACTTCGGATGAGATTGCAGGCTCACGCGACGCGAACGAGACTGCCGCCACACGTTCCGGTCGCCGAGTACGGTTGCCCGTACGCTTCCGCGAATAGTCGCACAGTGAACAACCGATACGGTGTAGGATTATTCCTATACTACACGCATGCTACACTCTTCTCTGTTTTGATTTTCTCTTTGTTTCCTGAGCCCACGCCCTCGACCATCTCCGTTTGGTTCCGTCGACTTCAATCAACTTTGGCGAAAGCTGGATTGGCCACCCATGCTCCTGTCAACGTACTCAGTCGATATATTGGTTTCGAATGCTTGGCATACACTTGGTCTCGGACTTGGTCGTTACGGGCGCTTCTGGTCTTTTGGCTCAACATGGTTTCGTCCTTCGTCTGCAGCGTTTCTGGTCCGCATTCCCTACGAACCCAATCTTGAGATTCTGGATACAAACCACTCTGGTGTAGTATATCAACTCAAGCAACAAATACAGCACATCGCCCCTGGTACCGTTCTGCGAAAAAGAACTTCATTGGCAACTCGACGATCAATGACCGCTTTCCTGTTTCGCCAATTCTTCCGTCTTACAATCGCTCGTCAGCCGATCAGTCCCACGATTTAAACCGCTACTTATCGAATGTGTAAACCCTTTTTAGCGTGGGGATCCTGTGGTGACTCACATTTATCATGAGAACACGACTGGTTTAATAAAAACAATTATTATTATATCCAACTGTACCAGTGCTTGTTTTAATGTGCTTTTGTTTGACTGTGCTAATGACAGCTATTTTATGCTTCTATTGATATATACACACTTTGATTGTGACTTCGCGCGAATTCGGTTACCTAAAGTAACCAAGCTTGTATCCTGGCACGATCTCGCTATCCTTTCGATACCACGAGATCGCCAGTAAATATATATCTCGACTTGGTCAATTAACTGCCTTCTGATATTTGGCTTCTCAGGGATTTTATGGATTTATTTGGTTACGTTCAACCTACGCCTTCTGATTCACTTGACACGTGTTTCTTGGTAGCAGTGTTCATAGTTAATCCCAAGTCGACGCCACGCTACAGCTTAATGTATACCAACCAAGGTTTGTGGTTTTACTGTCATGTCCAATGTTTCTAAATGATGCATAAATCTAGACACACCTAATCACCGAAGTTCATCCCCTAAAAATATGATTTTTTGTTACATTTTCTACCTAATAAAAATAAAATGGAACCATGATGTCATGAACCACCAAAACTAGATAAGAATGAAGTTTAAGGATGTGAACAGTATGAATCCTTAAACTTCATTCTTATCTAGTTTTGGTGGTTCATGACATCATGGTTCCATTTTATTTTTATTAGGTAGAAAATGTAACAAAAAATCATATTTTTAGGGGATGAACTTCGGTGATTAGGTGTGTCTAGATTTATGCATCATTTAGAAACATTGGACATGACAGTAAAACCACAAACCTTGGTTGGTATACATTAAGCTGTAGCGTGGCGTCGAGTTGGGATTAACTATGAACACTGCTACCAAGAAACACGTGTCAAGTGAATCAGAAAGCGTAGGTTGAACGTAACCAAATAAATCCATAAAATCCCTGAGAAGCCAAATATCAGAAGGCAGTTAATGGACCAAGTCGAGATATATATTTACTGGCGATCTCGTGGTGTCGAAAGGATAGCGAGATCGTGCCAGGATACAAGCTTGGTTACTTTAGGTAACCGAATTCGCGCGAAGTCACAATCAAAGTGTGTATATATCAATAGAAGCATAAAATAACTGTTCACATCCCGATCGAAGCTGCTACCTTGACGCGGTGGCCGGGCTTGCCTATCGTGATGACCCAACCGAGCTATATTGGCTGGAACATATGTTCCTGCAGGTTCTACCATGCCAGGCAGGTCGATTGGCGAACGGTAAGACTAAAAGCAGCAACTCAAGGTCTGAGGGCGAAGTCGTACTGCTGACTGTAGAGAGGTGTGACAGCAGTTGTCCCTTGG